CTCAAGTGAACGGCGTCAACATCAGCAGCGCACGAAATTGGCTGCATCTGGACTCGTTGACGTCGAAACAACGAGGTATGAAAGTCGTGTCTACTCGATCTAACATTGTCATGTAAGGGGAATCACGACTCCTGACGGAGGAAAACGTCGACATGCTGCAAAGTTGGGTGGAGCATGACGTCCAAATCACGCTCCAAGAGATCAAAGATCGATTGGCGCTTGATTTGGTGTAACGACGTCACTCCAGTGGCGTCATAGGGTTATCGACCAATCAGAACAGACGTCACTGTTGACGTCAGTTTACGACCAAGCTCGATTGGCGTGCGGCGTGCTCGGCCATGGACACCAGAAGTTCCTTCTGCAGAGCGCACGTATATATAGCATTAGATATAGTATAGTCACAGTAGTCATGCATGTAGATGTAGATAACGCCAATCAATCAGTTTTACAATTTCCTCTGCGTTATCAACTCCCTACATTTGGGCATCGAGGTGTCCACATCGACTTTGCATCGTGAACTCGACAAACGTGTGTTCACGTACAAGACGGTTCATTATGAACCCTTACAAATGTTTTATTTTCATCCTTTGGATGATTTATTGTATTCATTTTTGAGTTTTCCTAATTGAATGCAAGCACGACACTTTTGAAGGATCTAAAGGTTGTTTGGTTGGGTACAAACCAATTCTATAAGGCGCATGGGCATATCGAATGGGCACACGAGGGGGTCGTGCCAAATCCAATGGGCACACCGAACATGGGTACCAAATCCATTGGGCACTCATTCATTCGAATGGGCACATCCCTAAATCCAATAGTGACCTGTCCGAATCCATCGAGAAAATGTCCAAGTCAATTGAAAAATGGTGTACTACTAGTACTACTACTTCAAGTACTATTGTTTTCGAAGATATAGTCTGTATTAATAGTAGTACTTCTCCCATGGGGTATTATTGCATCGACACTTTCGAGCTGTCTGTGACGTCTCCATCAAAAATTATCCACAGACCGAACGACACGGCGTCATCCAGCTACAATGCTTACTGTAAATTTCAAAATCGCGACCTTTTCGCAAGCCAAACTTTAGAGGCCGAGCCTGCCATTGGCTGAAAATGTGACCTAACAGTTACCTGTGCGGTTACTACGTACACATATAAATTCTAGGAATAACTTGAGAATTGTATGTGCTTTATTGGATTGAAACAATGGCAATTTACATTTTTTAACAAACGCATCGTGCGATGGGCGTGCGATTGACGACGGCAACACACCAAGCGGGCGACAGACGCATGGGACCATTTCACGTTTAGCGATGAAAGTGCTGTCGGCCGTCATTGTCGTAGGTGCTGCTGCGTCCGTGGGTGCATTGAGCCCTTCGAAAGGCAGCTGCATCACCCGTGAAGTCGGAATCATCAAGGCCGGGACGTACATACCCAACAACCACGTCCTCACAGCGTGGGGTATGGTCGGAGTGCACGGCCACATCTACGTTCGGTGCGACAACGGTGTATTGACATGTCGCCAAGACAACGGCATCGCCGACGCGATGGAGATGCCCAAGGTGAACTGTGAAAAGGCGAATGCGAACCGCAAGTTGGGTGTGATGATCGACCCTGAGAAGATCCTGCTGTGGCCCAATCAAACGATGTGCTACTCGTACGACTCCAAGTTCTCCAAGGACAAGATGAAGCTTATGAAGGAAGGCTGGGAGCACTTGAAGCTCACGGGGCTCACGTTCATGACAGTAAAAGCGTGCAAGAAACACCCGAACAAGAAGGCCTTGTGCGGCGGGTGCAAGAACTTCGTCTCGATCAGGAACGATAAGCCTGGCTGCTTTGCCGCGGTGGGGTATCAGGCCAAGGGCGGCCAGAACTTTAACATCCACGACGACTGCTTCGCGCCAGGCTACGGCCGGTTCGTCCACGAAGTGTTTCACAGCCTTGGCATATACCACGAGCATGTCCACGCGAAGCGAAACATCATTATCATCCCGTCCGAGCTCAAGGTCGCGCGCAACAATTACATGATGAAGATCGACTCGGTGCACACCAAGTACGACGAGAAGTCGATCATGCACTACTCGCAGGCGGCGGGCGTGTGCATCCCGCAGCAGAAGTACAAAGACGTCAAGTTCTGCGACATCGTCGAGAGCGAGGCCCAGGGGTGTGTGGAGCCACTGCTGAAACACTGCGACAAGGACGCGTCCAGCGTGTTGGGCCAGCGCAAAGGCATGAGCGACGAGGACATTGCGACGGTGAAAGCCATGTACGGATGCACCCAAACGGGCAAGGAAGCCACGATCTGGGAACTTCAAAACGAACAGAAGGCTGCTGCCAAGAAGGGCAAGAAAGAGGACGATGACGATGACGATGATGATGAAATCTAAGCTAGTTAACGTTAATGAAAAGTTTATGTTTATTGCTTGATTTGACGTGGTAATGTACATACATCGTCGAAGCCACTATTTACGATCAACCGAAATGGATGTCCATCCCCATAGCACCAAATATGCTACGTATTAATACTAATACTATGTATTAATAGTATAACCTACTTACTATTTGTGCATGTCTTGACGAATTAGTACCAGCATGTTACCACTCCCTCGTACATAACATACTTAATTACATTGCGTCATTGTCATCGTCGTCATCGTCATCGTCATCATTGTCATCGTCATTGTCATCATTGTCATTGTCATCGTCATTGTCATCATTGTCATCGTCATTGTCATCATTGTCATTGTCATCATCGTCATCGCTGGATGTGGTGGCATCAGCTTGGTCGGCTTGAGTAGCGTGAAAGAGGAGACGGTCGATCGCTTTGACTTCTTTGGACGATATTGCCTTGTACAGCACTTCGATGCTTTCGACATCTGTGGGACTGAGTCCATCTCGCTGGCCCAGCACCAACGACGCCTTGTCGTCGCAGTCGTCGAGGGTGGGGACGACGCACCCCGTCTTTTCGCTGCTTTCGTCAATGTCGCAGAACTGGACAGTCAAGTCGGTGGGAACGCACACGCCCCCCGACGCCCCGTAGTGCATGACCGACCCCATGTCGTACGCGGTCAGTTTGGTATCCGTTTTCTTTACGTAGTTGTTGCGGGATGCTTTGAGCGCTTCTTCGACGATGATGATCTTGCGCTTAGGATGCGCATGTTCGTGAAAGAGGCCGATGGCGTGCCCAAACTCGTGCTGGACGTGACCAGGGGGCTGGTTCAGGTAGCAGTCTGGGTGCAAGTTGATCACTTGGTTGGGCTTGCCTTCGTATCCCACAAATGCAAAGCAGCCCGGCTTGGAGTCCTCCACAAGTGCAAAGTTCTTGCAATTCCCACACAAGGTTGGCATGCGCAAGGCGAGGCATTGCTCGACTGTGATCACGCGAATCGGGGTCTTTGTGCGGTACTCGGTCACGGTGGCTTCCAGGTACGGCTTGATGGCCGGATCGGCCTTGTCCGACAGCGCATAGCAGACAACGCCAGCCGGCCACAGCTCGGCCGCGGGGGGGTTCACCATGAGTCCCAGGCGTCGCCCCATATCCACGTCTGGGTCGTGCATGATGTCGTATTCTGCCAGCGCTTGGTCGCAGTCTACACTTGGCAACGATGGCTGGTCTAGGATTTGATCGCTGACTTTGCAGTGGTACACGCCGTCTTGGCACACGCGGTAAATCGCGCCCTTGTACCCTGGATGTCCGCGCAGGTACTCGATGGCGCCGTGGCGGTAGTGCACCTTCTCCTCCTCGTGATAGCATGAGTCATATGCCGCCCCGACTGTGGCCAAGCATGCCAGCCATGTGAGCTTCATGGCATGAGATTTAAGATGACGTTATGACATTGTTGCTGAGCTGATCGAATGTCGTGTTGTTCACAATTGACCACCAACGCTGGCATTAAGTTCGCAATATATTCGATCTTCATCGACATGTCGAAAGAATAGACAGACAACCTACTGACCAATCAAAACAATCAACACATTCAAGTGGCCAATCAAACGCTTGCATACTTTCGAATTAGTGTGTGACTGCAAATAGTGTGGATGGCGTCGCAAATTTTTGAACTGTCAGTACAAAAAATCGATCGATGGATTTGGTGAATCACGTTTTTGTATGGTGGGTTAAAAACCTAAAGTATGACCACGTTAAATCTCAACTGACTGATACTGTAATGATCATCAAGGTAACTTTACATGTTAGTGGCCAAAATCTACTTGGTTTAAAGTCTATTACTCGACCGTTCTTGATATGTAACATCCCTTCACCACGACTACAAGTAGATCTGTCGAAACTACTACACCGTTAATGGTAATTAGTGCGGACCGCACTAATTTTCAACCTCGTCACCAGACCTACGGCACATATATTAGTGCGGACCGCACCAATTTTGAATATTGAGAATTAGTAAGGATTATTATCTTGATTTGTATAACGTTATGTGGGATTTGTGATGAAAAGTCACATCACACATCGACATTGCTGTAAACAAACAGTCAATAGTGCAGACACGTTATATACAAGGGTTATTACACCACACTGGATGGCTTTCCACATATGACTACCAGAGCAAATTGGGCATCGTGGTATACACCCCAAACACCCAATCTTGCACGAAATTGGTCCGCACTAATTACCAACGACAAATTTCGGAAATTCCATCATACATGTATTAGTCAGGACCGCACTCGATCCACCACAAATTTCGCAAATTCCATCATACATGTATTAGTGAGGACCGCACTCGATCGACACCTGCACCGAACGAGGGTTTGTTCCGCTGTGGGAATATGCGCGCATGTGCGGAGTCACCCACGCCATCGACGACGCCGAATTTTTTGGTCAAGTATAAGAATATTTAAGTACTACTGAGATCCAATTCCAATGCGGTTATAGTACCTGTAATTTTGAATCCACACGAATTCTCAATCCGTACTAATCACAGTCAACGGTATACGTAGTATGTCTCGTTTTTTACTTTGAATGAAATTTTGAGAAATGAATTTGAAATAGTCGGTTTTGAGCAATGTTGGAAGACGTGCACCATATTATTCATACATATATAAAGTATTACTATTAATATTACTGTAAATCCTGGCATGTGGATTGACTTATTTATGGAATTCAGGAAAATTTCCTACGATTTCATACTGTGAGGGGGCCTTTGGGAATAACTTTTGCTGCATATACATATGCTACCGATAAGCAGTTAATATGAGCGTTGTAGCTCACAGGCCAAGCTACAAAGCGAACATTTAAACACATCGTCAATGTTGATATTCTCGCTAAAGCGATGTTCCAAACATTCAACATGGGTCATTTTCACTGTATTAACATAATACTATTAATAGTATGGTTCCATACCATAATGACTCGGACAAATATTTGCTGGATATGTGCTTCGGACACGCACTTAACCAAATTTACGCATTAAATGCGAATAGTTAGTTAGTTGTACCACAGGCCTTGTCCGGGTAGCGGCACGGCCTGCGGCCTACCTGCCGCTTTTCCCGACAAGAGGAATCGATTGGACATTCGGTGAAGTGCACGATTGGGGCTCACTCTTCGCCAAGGCACCGCCTGCACAAAATTATACACACGACCTCCGCTACGCTGCGGTGTGCGCAATTTTGTGGGCGGATGCTCTGTCGTCGCTCGCTACTGTAAAGCTGATCGTTCTTATGCGGGTTAATACAATACACAAGTATGTCCGAACATATTCCGTTTGGACACTTTCATTCGGACAAAATATGTTCCTCTTAAGTCCAATACAAATGCCAAGTATGTCCGACTGAAATTGTCCGAACGTGTCCGCAAAGTGATCATATTCACCCATATCTAATAAACGCGTTTTTCATTCTGTTCATAAAAATAGGTGAAGACCTGAGAACAATCCTCTCATAATCGATACTAGTACATATTATCAGAAGCCCCCTCGCAGCTGTCGACTACTGCTAACCAATGAAAACACTCCTGTACAATGATTGGATAATTAATTACAAATCCATGTTTATCATTAACGTTAAGTATTAATGACTAAACAATAAATGCTGCATGATACGAGTACAAATATACGACGATGGAATACCGTAGTCATGTACTACGGTAGTATTTTCGACATCAATGTTGACTGTAAGCATCCATGCCGTTACCAAGACCATGCCGGAGAACAGAGGGAAATGTGGAGAAATGACGATAACATGATTATTCCGACAAGATACTCATTCCGACAAGGATTCTATTGGATAATCCTAAGTAGGAAGGGTACAGTGAATGAGGGCTCATTCATATATACACCTAGAATGAAGACCTACTGCGTCCGTCGGGTAAGTCTTTCGTAGGTATGGTGAGGGTAAGGTGCAATGCCACTTGCTTACGTGTAAACACATAAGTACAACGAGCAGCGGCCTCCTTATGACGGATATTGCATTCCTATATTTAGCAAACCTGATTAGGAGTAACTGCCGAAATGTCGGAATATGTCGAACTATTTGGTGAACTTTCGCTGCATTTGAATTTGTATGTGAGACCAGGATATTTCAGATTCCATTCCGACAGAGTTCGTCGGAATATGTCGGAACCGACAGAATTGTGTAGGATAGTTTACTACTTACAGTTAACACTGTAAGTACTATAATAATATGATAGGTAGAAATAGATAATAGAGACGATTCATTGGCCAAAATTAGAGCATACAAATTAACGATCGCTCCTTCTTCCTACGTACTAGTACTACGGTAGTATAACGTAGTACTACAACTTGTGTACTGCTGCTACATACCGCGTACATAATGGTATCAATGTCATTACCGCTAGGACGCCTCACATTCCGCATTGATATACGTACTTCGTAGTACAGTGTAGAGAATTGGCCAATTAATCGCAGGACCAACTCCATACGATTTCGCCAATTCAAAGAATTCTTTATCTTTACTACAAATTCGTATATAACTTGGAAAAAAATTGAGATGGAGGATTTCAAAATGGCGAAAAGTCGCATAGGTGTGCCGTTTGTATGCAATCATAGGTGCACACCTACGATTGCATACAAAAGTCAAGTTCTGTCCTACGAATTCCGTAGAATGGCAACACAATTTCTGCTTTTTGTCCGAATTGAAAATCCAGAGGACGACACTTGGGTATTGTGATGAAATTCCCTTAAACAATGCATATATCACTCGCTTCTAGAAGGACACTACACCACTGTGAATCGAAGCGTCTACAAGACCATGCTATGATCAACTTTCTTCACAGCATATTATTCATGGCCTCATTGAACGTTCCTCGTAATCGAACGATCGCATGGAACGACCACATGGCGGCGTGTTCTGAATGCGTACAGCCTTTGCGTACCTCCATAGTTTAGGGTTTTTCGTCCCTATTTAAGGCTTTTCGGAAAACTATCTTAGTTGAAGTTGGCTGACGTGGATACGAGTATCTTTTTTTCGCATGTCATCGGGGCATACAATTGGCCAGTGAAAAAGCCAACGGTTGATTAAAAATACGTCGCACCATCCCGCCATTTCTTGCCCTGCTCATTTCGACTCTTGCTCGCAACTGACCCAACGACACCGCCACCACCATCATGGAGCAGATTCAATCCTTCGTCGCCAACAAGACCGTGCTTGTTCTCAATGCAGGCAACGTGCAGCTCATGCCAACTATCCTCAACCGCGCGGGGAATGTGCGTGTAGTGGACAGCAAAGGGCTGCGATGGGATCAATCAAACGCCACGTTTGAGCGTGGGAATCCCCTTACCTGCACGATATCCGAACGGTTTGACATTGTTTGGAGCAACGTGGACGTTAACGAGATGGAGCAAGACGACGTCCATCAGTTCGTTGCTGCCACGACAAAATTGGCCCTCGATTCCATCTTTGCGGTGCAGAAAGTCCGCGGCAGTCCAACAGCAGTTGGGATCGACCTACTGGAGAAATGCATCCAGAAACATCACGTGGACATCCATCCCAACCTCTCTATCGTCACAACAGCCGCCATTTCATCGTCAGTGGCAGTGACAGAAGAGAGCGTGGTAGCCGTTTGGTCCGACCGCAAGATGCCCCTGATTTGGCGGGACTCTGTGTACTCTGGCAAGTGTGCGATCATGACGGAGCTGTACTCGGCCCAGAAGGCGTACATCACATCGCTCATGGCCCCGAACCAGCCCACGTCGTACGTCGAAGTCGGCTGCGGCACATCGGAAATGGGGTCGGTGCTGTTCGATCGTATGGCCTATACCGTAGGCGTGGAGATCAACCCGGTGATGATTGAGCTGGCCAAAGACATCCACCCCCTCATGCATGCGCACCCTCGCAACTTTTTGATCGAAGGCAACGCGCTGGAGCTGGAAGCGATCTTGAACCGCGATATGCCAGCAGACTTTTGGAAGTCGTCGCGAGTGGTGGCCATCCTCATGAACACGATTGGCATTTTGCCAGAGGCCATCCGCCAAGGCGTGGTGGATCAAATGGTGACTGTGGCGGGGGACGACGGCGTTGTGGTCATTGGGTGCTGGCACAGCGCGAGCTTCCGTCGCGGCGTTGAGGAGTACTACATGAAGAACCCGCTCCTCGTGGGCGACAATGTAACGCTGGACATGTGCAACTTTGAGACGAGCGACCTGTGGGTGCCGTCGTCCAAGTACGAGTCGCATTGGTCGTCGGAAGCCGATCTCAAGGCATATGTCCAAGCGTATGCCGCTAAAGGCTACGACATCTCGACGCATGTAGCGGGTATTGGGATCTTCTTGACCTGTCGCCGCCGCCGTTAGGCCAAACATGGCCTAACGTGCAAGGGCTCGTTTTGTATATTTCTTTACATGTTAATAGATTTTGTGACATTTTTCTACTGTGTACTACAGTGCGCCAAACTGCGAGTTGCCCTACTCTGTATTGTGCTTTTCATGTAGTTTGCCCGTTGTTTAACTGCATTAAACAACCAGACGTTTAAAATAATATAAGCCCGATTGAAGATGAAACAACGCTAAACACAAGTTCTGCATTTCAGCAGAAAAACAACCCTTACTTTATTTCAGCTGCTAACTACAGTATTCGAGTTGCAGCACCAGGCCAACTTACGCCGTACAACCACCAGTTCATCACGATGCATACCATATTAGGATGTGAAATGGGAGTACTATACATCGTGTAGTCGTAGTGCGCCCTTGCCTTCCACATACAGTGCTAAGAGAGCAGATCAAGAGTTGAAGGTATGGCATAGCTTTGAATCATTGGACAGAGCGACGACTACATGTACTGTAGCCTAACTATATCCTAACGTTATATACATTACTCGGAGTAGATAATGTTAGTACTGTAGTGATCACGGATGGGAGGTCATGTATGTGGCCATAGCTCCTTCAGTTTCATCGTCAAGCTCCTTGACATGTTGACGTAAAGCAAGTTGTTTGCCAGAATGAAAACCGCAAACAACTTGTTTTACGAAAGTGCCAGTAAAACCACCTTCAACCAACCAATCATCGCATTAGATGAAGTAACTTTAAACAACGCACCCAACCGTTATTCAAGTTACTTTAGACATTATTTAAGCCTGAGAAAATTTTAAACAATGAATTTAACCCTGGAATTGCCAAAAAAGGTACAAAGCACAATAATAGTACTTGTTAGAAATCGTTCCACTTGCCCGAACCAGGCATACATGGAGTGCTGTAGTTTCTTGTCGATGCAAAGCAAGTGTGTCCCGCGAGGTTGACCTTGTCCGCTTGATATTACTCCACCTCATATGCGACACTTTGAGGCTTTGTACACACTGCATGTGGCTGTCAAGAATTTGAGTCGTCTGCTGTACAGTCGCCATGATGCGTCGAACAAGGTGGACGCGGTCCACTTGCAAGTGTGTCTGCACAGCTCCGTGCTCTAGATCCGACTGCATGGGCTCAAATGCCTCACACACTTTATTCCTTTGATCCGCCAAGCTCAGGTTCCTCCC